CAGCTTTGATATTAATGAGTTTTTTGGGTTCATTGAGAACATGGTTGTTGTTCAATAATAAAATTATTCCTCAAAAATACAACTTGCCTAATAATTCTGCTCTCCCTGTATAGAGATTTCTGCTGAAGCTGATTGAGATCACAAACACACACATACCTATATAACATTTAGAAAAAAAACTGAGACAAGTTTGCAGAGAGCAGAGAGCAACACACACACACACAAACACACACACATCTCTGGTATTGTACGATGAAAGGATCAGTCTGATCCCAAGAGACAGCAGGTGGGATCTGACTTGTGTCAGACAAAACAATATGCCCAAAGTGGTGTGTGCGTGTAGAGGTGTGTGTGTGCAGACATGTTTCAGTGATTCATATTCTATGGGAGTGTGACACAGATGTGCAGCAGCAGCCATCACATCCAGTGTGCTGTAGTGTGTCTAATTCCTTTTCTAAAGGAATGATAATTGCTGGTTGATGGTACCTTTACACCCCCTCCAACTTGTTAGAATAGTAGACTCTATCAGGCTGATCACCTGAACAGTTATTCAACCATCACACTTCCATGTTTAGAGCTCGTACTGTGATAAGCCAACAAGAAAATAAATATGTCATTGCACTGGGGTTTGTTTGTTTTTTGCTTAGTTCTTCTACTTTATATAACATTAAGCGTTACCTTAAGACCTCCCAAAACACAGCAAAGTAATAACTTTGATATAATTATTCTATACAGAAGAAACCTGAGCACCACCCCCTAACTCTTGTCAGGCCCAAAACATTCATACCAAAATAGCAAGGAATGCAACTGTGAAATCCCCTAGGGCTAAACTTTATCTAAATTTGGAGATAAACACAAACACTAAACTAAGCTGAATTCACAGACCTGAAAAGCAGACAAAAACACCATCCACCTGTAGAGAAGAGGGACTTTCATAAAAGGACATAGTCCTAATTACATGATGTTTAATTTCCTCTATAACATGCTAAAAATAATCATACGGAAGGGTTAACAACACAGAAATGCAAACAGGATATTAGCAAAGCAGTGACAGCTCATCTGACAAACCATTATTAATCACATTATGGCCTGGCACAGACACCGCGCCCAGCGACCCTGATCTGGTGCCGAGATAACAAGTTTGGTGGCCTAAGGGTCTAAAGGGGACACGGCACTGAACAGAGACTGGGATCGGCTTTATCACGAGTCTCCCTTCTCTATCTCTGTTGACGCTTCCTGTCACTCTACACCATCAGATATATAATAAAGTGCTCTAGAAATACACTTAAAAAAACACACCAATTATGTAACCAATTACAACTACTGTAAAAACAAAGGAGAAGAAAATGTTCTGCCTTCCTGATTCAGTAGCAAGCTGTTGATCTTTCCGACAACACTTACATTCTTTACACAGATGCCAAGAAAAACAACTCTGAGCCAAGAATGGAGGAAGGCAGTGAGACAACACAAACACACTCAAGATCAAAAATCTTTCAGAAAATGCAGCAAAGTAAAACTTGCAGCAGTAACACTATGACAATTAGTAACATGCACGCAACATCTCACATACGCTTCTACGTCGTAAGTGCAAACAGCAAAATGAGAGAAAAAGCGTTTAATGTAGCCATGGAAAAGACTCAGAGGCATGAAAAAGTAAAACTATCCAAAAGGGCACTTGTGGAGAGGAGGGGTCAGAAAGTTATGCAATAGAAAAAGACAGTGAGAACAAAAAAGAAATGATAGATGAAAGGCAAGAGCCTGGGAAGTAAAGTGAGGGAGACAGAGGAGTGTGGGAGAAAGCAGCATTTACAAAAGACAAAAAACAGAAACATTTTACTCAAGCTGCCATGCGTTTTAGCAAAACATCTGATATGAAAGGAAAAACAGGGGATTTCAGGCAGTTACACATCAATGACAAAGAGAGAGCTTTCCAAATAAATAATGGATCTGTTTCAATGCCTCCTTACTTTACTGTCTCCCAATAACACCAACATATCAACCTCTAATGTATAGACTAAAAAAACTGTAGGTAAAAACTGTGGGTATGACATTTCTGAAATGTCTCAAAGGCATAAAAAAAAGAGCTTCTGACATTTCTTTAGATATTCACTTGTTCTCTGCTAACAGGTGTATCGGTCCGTTTCTTCCTGTTCTCGTTGCTCCTTCCTCAAACCATTTGTACTTCCAGCTCTCTTGCGTTCACCCAATTTTTCCTGTCCCCCCGCTCCCTCGCCCCCTGTCTGTCTCCAAATTGTGCAGACTTCATGCTCGAAAGGTTTGAGAAGTCGAAACAGAAAAAAGAAAGCTCAGAAACCTGGGGACACGCTGCACTCGTCACAGGGTCAAAGAGTTCAATTTGAGTGTGAAAAACGAAGGATATATTTATTATATATATATTCAGCTTTGTACAGGATTTGAAAGTCTCTTTTACCCTCACTGTTTCTATCAGTTAGTCACACACAGACACACAGCATGACGTAACATTGTCAGGAAAGGTGGATGCCCATGCAAAGCCTAAAGGAAGCACTCTCTGTTCCTTTCCTGTTCCTGCTAATGTATGTGTGTGTGTCAACACTGACCAAGCCATATCTTTGTTATGATAGCTCTGTGCCTGATTCCTGGAAATAATGGATAAGAGTATAACACACAATGCTTTTAAGTCAGCAGCACACAGATAGTATGTGCAACCACACATAGTGGGACACACATAAAGCATTAATCCCAAAACCTGCCCAGTGTGTAGTGCATGGTGTAACACCGAAGAACCCTTTGTGTAGGTGGACCTCTCGAAACTTCTAATGCTGATTAAATGTGGAAGAGTAACAAAAATGCAAGTCAGAAATGACTATTGAGAAATGGAAAAACCCAAAGCAATGCAATGACACAGGAGTTAAATCACTATGGAAACAGCCCACACTGGTTTGTCAGAGCTTATCTGTCCCAAAAAAAAAAAGAAAATCACCATGACAACCCAGTAAAAGGAGAATGGTTTCTGTTGTGTATCGAGCTGGTCGTCTAGCTTTGGTTTCTGCTAAATTCTGCAACCTGAGCTGAACGATGAGCTGAAACAATAACACCTACGAATAAAAGGCCAACTGAGTTTAATCAGGGCTGCAAAGCATCTTTGTTTCAAAAGATGTTTTTAATAATTTATGATGTTGTGTGGCTCAAAACTGACACACGTATTGGTCACATGCAGTTTAAACTGCTTACACTGTAGTGCTATACAGCAACACCTGGGGATGTCACACCACACTTTTATGCTATAATATTAAAGGCATGGATAAATCAAATAAGAAATGTGGCCAGTAATGCACCTTACACTACTTGTGTTCTGGTATATGAACAAGTGCACTTTTTCTTTTCAACAAGATTTTGTCGATAAGGCACCTTAAATGTAAATTATACTTTATAGAGAAAAAATGCTTTCAGTGTTGATGCGTCATTTATGTAAAGAAATCTACACACAGCCAGGCTGCTTTGAATTTCTGTTTGACATCCTGGAATAACCAAACAGTGTTCTGTTTACTCTGACAAAGTAAAAAATGGGCACGACTGCAGGATCAATAAACTACATTAACTTAAAGCTATACTTGCTCAGATTTATGTTACACGAGATAAATCCTTCAAGAGTCTAAATACAGATATAATGATATTGATACCTAAATGTTTAGAGCATAATGATTAGATTGGACTCTAGTTGATCTCTCTCTTGCATCCCTCCTCTAATATATAAGATGATAAAATACAGTATATTTTTATTGTGTACATTTTCAAGAAATGAAACTAGATTTATGCACACTTTAGAAAATCCCTAAGGCTGGGCTTCAGTCAGACTCACACAGACACACAACCACGGTGATGCAGGGTGAAATGTGACTGCATTTCCTTCGTTTCCGGCCCTCAGGTGTACTGTAGAGCAGGATCATACAGTACAACGCTTCACTAACACCCCGCTCATTATCAGCCCACTCTGACTCAGCCTGCCACAGGGCAAGCAGCACATGAACATACACATGCAAGCGCCCACGAATGATTATAAGCTCTAGCCAGCAAACTGACACACACACACATCTACACGCACACACACAGTACTTGACAGCGTGTAAAAAGAGTATGAGATCACGATGCGCTAAGCCATTATTAACACCCACATTAGATGAGCTACAGAACTGGTGTATGTTTAAAGTAAAGTGATCTGAATGAACCCGAGCTCTGGGCGTCTTCAGTGATAACTTTAGTTGGCGTGTGCATGTCAGTGCAGAATTGTGCCCTCATGTACTGAGAAAAGGTCTAAACAGGCCAGGCGTGCTGGAAAATACATGCATGCATGCGTGCCTATCCCTTAGCTGGACAGAACCACCAATAATGATGGTGCTGAGGAGGATTTACTCGCATGATCCCTGGCCTGAATCCATGAGTAACTCTGACCTGAGGTGTGTGTGTCCCTGCTTAAAAATGATGACAGTAATGACAACATTAACCGCATGACGTCCATTACTCTCCACTCACATTAAGCGTGCAGCCACAACTCTGTCTGCAGATTACATGGTAAGAGTTCACAAGACAACGTCAGCAGTCCTGCCGATACTATAAGATGTACTATAATATCAAACTATAGCACTCTCTACTCACCGCCTGGTTCCTGTCGGGTAGACGGTAGTTGTGGTTCTGCAGCAGCCGACAGCCGTCTTTGGCCAGCCGCTGCACGGCCTCCAGCCCCAGCCGGCTGGTTAGCTCCTCGCGGCCGCACACGGTGCCCATCCCTCCGCCGCCGCTGCTGCTGCTGTCCCGCAAAGCACACACACCTCCCAGCTGCAACGCAGGAGGCATGAAGACATATCTCAGCCCGCAGTCCCAAGACATTGTAGAAACACTCAGAGTATGTTTGAGGAATGGAGGTCAACAAAGTTTGGTCATAATCCAGAAACACACAAGGAGAAGTTTTCTGTTGCCCCTATATATCCATGTGAGTAGGATAAGAAAATGTGGTAATCCTAGCTCTCTCTATCTAATCTTGTTCTCCCTGTTATTATTACTTGTCTCTTTATTCTTTTCTATCTATTACAGTCACTAATTCCTTTTTATCTACTGAACTTCTCTTTGTCTCAGTCTGACTGCTCTGTGTCAGAGGATCTGGTGGAGAAGGAATGAGAGTGTGTGATTAGTAGTATAAGTGGGCGGGAGTGGGTGTCTGTGTGAGAATAGTGTGCTAGGGTGCAAGTGTGGTGTCTGTCTCCTCCCCTCTATAGTCAGTACAGAAATCTGCTACTGTCCTGGTAGTCCAGCTGAGGCAGATGAAATAAGAAAGTGGATAAAAAGGAATGTATAACATCGTGGCCTTAAAAAAGGAAAATGAAACAGGAACATATTTCCCTGAAATAGCTCAAGGATTCTGGAGAAACCAGTGCTTTTGTCCCTAGATATACCTGACAATAGAAAACATTACTGTGTGAGTGTGCTCCCCAGGGTGCTAGTATGATGGTTATCACCGGTGGCTGGTAGCCTGGTCTGTTTATTTTCCTTGGAAGAGAGATAGAAAGGGGACGGGGAGGGGGGGGTTCATTTGGCTGGGGGTGGGTGGGTATCCTTTCCTGTGGGCTCAACTATCCCACGGTGCCATGTTCCAATAGAGGGTAACACACACCCCTGCAGAACATCGCTCATTTTTGTTTACTAGGAAAACACCCCCCCTTCCCCCAATGGCACCACTTATCTGGCAGAATAGCCACGTACACATAGACATTATATCACAACCCCTGTGCCATGTCCCTTACTACTTCCTGCAAACCTGCTTTCAGCTTCCTGTCAACGACACACCAAGATAAAACACTGACAAATGTGTGTATTTGAATTGTCCGCCTGTTTCTTTGATTTGCTTTAATTTTTCTATGATCTTCAAGTGTTTAAGCTAAATTAGAAAGCACTATATTTTAGAGCCTTTTGAGTTTAACAATATATCTGCATAGGTTAAAAAAAAAACTGTACGCCAAAGGAAATGAAAGTTGAAATTCACATTGTTATCCTATACGTTTTGCAGTTGTACTTGTTTATTAACATGCAACACCTATGTTACCACTACAGTCTGCAGCAGCTCCTAAACAGCTCCTGCAGGATCAATGTAATGTCTGGATCAGATTCACTATTCGCTGTATCCACCTGGGTTGCATAGCAGTTTCCACAGCATTCACGACTGTACCAACATAGTGAGGAGTCCTACATCATTTACTTGTAAATGTACATTAGTGCCTATATTCATTTGCAAATGACTCTAATTCGTTTAAATTATGCACTTCATTTGTTGCTGGTAATTAAAGCAAAACTAGTTTAATGCGTTTGTAGTCAGTGAGAGGCAGAATGAGGAATGAGAGTGGAGAAGACGATTCCTCGTTAAGAACAGCTCTACTTCGAAGCGGCTGGATTCACAATGTGTTTGGGCTCATTTGGATATTTTCTCTTTTTCCTCGGCCAACAAAACAAATATGAAAATTTGAGCTTGTCTCATAAATAGCTTACTATGTTAGCCAGAACTCACTTCCAAGCTGCCAAAATCCAGATAACACGACATATTCAAACAAAATAACACTGTGCAGTTAGACTTTGTGGATTGATATTTAAAAGGAGGGATCAAGAGAGTAAAAAGAACGTGTCACTGTCAATTAGCTTTTCAGTATATGTGAAATATAAAAATCCACAGAGGAGCAACAACTGAGCAACAACAGCACAACACAAACACATACCAACAACATCCAGTGAACTGAACAGGTTATAATAGAATTGCTGCAGTCAGAAGCAAAATATAAATATGTTTAAACATATATGTTTTACTCTTTAAAGAATACTTTATCTGCTTTAGACCTCTACATTTTTTTCAAATTGATCATCATTTACACTGAAAATAATAGAGACATCTAACACAGGCATCACAACAAGCTGAAGTGTGATGAGCCAAAAACCAAAGAGTGGAAGTAAAATGTAAAGTGATCCGTTGGCTCTGTGTATGAAATGGTTTAAGTACATCTAGGAGGGATGGCTCAATGCACAGTGCCTTTTTCCTATGATGAACTATTTCTGTCTTGACTGCAGTAGTCTCCTCCAGGAGGTCTCAATATGCATGGGGCTTGAGTGGTCACTAAATGATTATCTGACTACCAATATTACAAGCCTAATATGCTACGGCCTTTGCAGTCACCCCAGATCATCCCACCTAGGAGAGGCTTAGGACCAAGGTGTCAGGCTAATGTATTTTTAGCATTTGAGAGACACAAATTTCATTATTAGAGGGTGAACAGCTTACGATGCACTTTCACACGTTGTGACCACACAAACTAGTTGTATCAAACTGTACTGTCCACAAACTACACTTGCATGCTCCAGGTAGACTTGACAACAACTACTTCTTTGTGATCCATGTGCATGTCTTCAAGCACGTATAATCCTAGCCTTAGACAGTGCTCTAAACCACCATCATCAAAATACCAACTAGGGAATAACCTTCAGAAGAATGGTGTTTCACCGATGCTAAAAAGCACTGAAGCTATTCTAGTGTTGCATGATGACCCAGCACCTCACTACGACGCTATATGGATTTTCCTTTAATCTGTCACCCATCCGTACACATTGCTATATGTGTGCAATTGTGTTTAAAAGCTGTTCTTCCTCCTGTTTTCTTGCTCTTTCCTCATTTCTCCGGTGTATCCACCGAATTAATAATTCATAGAGAGAAAGTTCTGGCTCTACATAGTTGGGACCAAACAGATCTCCCTCTGTACTTTGCTCTGACCCTGTTTTCTACATTCAACCCCATGTGTACCCCCTACATAAATTCAACCTGCAACCTTTAAGAGACAAAGATAGATTAAGCAAAACAATTATCATTTTTATCTCTTCATTTGGAAGGGATCTACAAAGTTTGTCTGTGGATCAGACTTTGTATTGCTGCATTAAGGAGCTACTAGAATGTGTTTATTGTGCCCTATTTAGACACTGAAATAGCTTCTTAACAGTAATGCAACAAGAACACAAACTGATTCAGCTGTAGGCCTACTTCAGGCAAGTGCAAACTGTCAAAGCAGCAGATTCCTTTTTTAAATGAAATTAACTTTGAAAAATTAATTGAAGGACAAGACTATGATTAAAAGAAAAAAAGGGGGGTTAGAGACGGTTTTTACTGTGTGTGTTACCGGACTGCTCTCCTCGCTGGGCGTTCGAGGCTCCTGGTGGCTCGTCTCTGCTGTCTCAGAGTCCTGCTCTGACACTGTAACCAATCAAACAGCAGCACATTAACACGTTTCTTCTTACGACATGACATTGTCCTTTTCATTCTGTCTTCTCACTGTGGAAACATTGAAAACACACACACATACGCATCAACTAAATGTACTTACAAGCTTTACGTGTCTTTCGCGCAAGAGCAGCCGCCAACTCACTTTGCACCTATAAGAAAGAAGACTGAAGATGTTAGACCACAAAACATACACAAACACATCTGGTGAACTATAACACACTCCAGTTTTCATCTAATGTTTATCTCATTAGATGATGATGCTGTATTGACCCTGCCACACTGACCGTAGAAGTGAGTCTCTCAAGAGCTTTCATCTGAAGAATCTCACTGCAGATGTCCCTGTTGCCTTCAGAGTCTTCCTCTGACCTTGGAGAGAGAGAAACACCTTTACTGGTAACTAACTGGTTCGTAAAATTTAAATAAAAAACCCCACAATGACAAAAGTTTCTTTTTAAACTCCTCACTACACTGCCCCCTGGTTTAATAAGAAAGAACTACAACCAGATCCAAATTGGTTCTATTCGTCTGAATAGCAGCGATGTTGGTACATCACCACTTTCCTATTTAATAAATTAAATAAGCTGATTTTTTTGTGGTGGAACCTTATTATAATTTTACAGTGACTTCATTAAGGTGGCACAACAAGTTCTCAAACAACAACCGATGATGAAAATTAAATGAAAACATGACTGCTAAGGTGAATTCACGGGGAAAATCGTATTCCCTAAAGTTGTACCGACCCATCTGAGTTATCATCCTGTGTTTATAGTTCCTCAGGGCCTGCATGGTTTTGTATTAGGAACTTCTCATCGGCCCTTTCTCTTTTTCATGTGGTTTATGCAAAACAGCTTGGAGACACACCCTTCTGTTGAAGTTAAAGTGGCCTAGTTTGTGTGTGTGTAGGTACTGGCAGTGAGTACATCGGCTCACAATTTATATAGATGTGCAGCTCTTGTTGAGTTTTTTTTTCTAAAAGTGCTCTGTGAATATATTTAGGTTTAACTTCATTTGTGTGTGTGTGTGTGTGTGTGTGTGTGTGTGTGTGTGTGTGTGTGTGTGTGTGTTTTGGGTAAACAGGCGGTTGTTTGGGGGTAAACTCTGCAGTATAACTCAGTAATAATACAAGATTGCACTGAGTTTGCCTTCAGTGGTGACACACTGCACCCGAGGGCCTCTCATCTAATATGTTCTCTTACAAAACCACTGTTTGAATTGGTCTCCCACATACTGCCTCACCCCCACATGACACACACATATATTCTCCCTGCCTCTAGCACACAAACACACACTCACGCACGTACACACACATGCCCCAATTTGCATACAATTTGGATTTTATCAACAGGTGCCGTAGGCACTTGTAATAGTTGTAGAGGAAAGAAGATGAAGCCCTGTGTGATTTTGTGTGTGTGCATTTGTGCTTGTGTGTGTGTCTACACTGTAATCTGATAAGAGAACGGTGGATGCAGAAGCAGGAGAGATGGTGATAACGCATAGCCTTCAGCCTGACACTTCAGCTTTGGCATAGACAGAGAGAGACAGAGGCAGGCAAGACATCAGATGCCTGGAAGGAGAGAAAACCTTTCCTTATAGCTTAATTGGTCAGAATTACTGGTTTCTGTTAACAAACTCAGTGGAACAATAGGAGCAAATTATTCATTTTTGTTTGTTTCATACTTTACATTTTTATTACCCATCAAATCTAGAAGCCCATTACAAAACAAAGTCTATTCTGAGCCATGATAAATGCTAAATTTATTCCAAACAGTGTCCTTAATTTTGTTTGCTGTTGTTCATTTGGTAATTTGGTGACTCACCATGAGCCTGAATGCACCAGAGCTGAAAAAGAGGTGCAGTAGGAGGTGTGTCACCGGTCATTAAACAACACAAAGCAGAAATTGATACGAGATTATGATGATGGGTCACGTCCTTGTTCAAATTGTATCAGAGTGCACGGCACAAAGAGCAATCTTTGACACAGAGTTCTTCGGTCAGAATAATACAACTACATAACGTAGACACTGCGCACACGCATGTAGCCATGATCTGAATTTTTCTAGTCTAACAACAAAATAAAGGCTTTTCAACGGACTGCGGCAGACTGAGTGTGAATCATAAGGAGGACGTGTTCTCTGGAATAACCTCCTCTCTAGCTAAAACCCTTCGCTATTCTGCTAGACTGGCTTTTTTGGCTTTACTCGCCTCCCTTTTAAAATAGAGAGGGCTATAGATCGTCTAGTGTAGTACCAGAGGACTATGCAAAGCAAGCAAGTACGTTTTCCCCTCTCAGGCGAACGGTGGCATATTTTAGCTCCTGGCAAGTCTGCCTCTCCTGCACAGTGCAGAGAACAGCGTTTTTCCACAGACGGGGAAACCAGCAAAATAATTGTTATTGACAACCACCTCATACATCACACAGTAAAGTGTGTATATGGACTATGGGTTACAGTATATGAAATACACAGTGTCATGCAGGATAAGAAAGGGATCCAGTGTCTAATAAATTGTTATTTTTGAAACATTTCCTCCTTTTGTCACTTTTAGTGTTGCTTGTGATCTCAACTTATTAACTTTTTAAGCAGTTGACACAATATTGTGTAAATTGTTAAACTACTGTAGTGTAGATTGAGTTGTACTGCACTCCATAATATTCAAAATGTAATGTTTAGTTTAAATCCTTAAATGTAAATGTAGCAGAGCTTATTATACTGAGTTATGTCACACTGGGAAGATGCTCATATGCATGTCGCTGTGTCATGGGATTTGGCAGCTGTATGCAGTTGATATTCAGTGCATGAGATATATTGACGTTCACATCTAGAGTACCCAAGACATTTCTATATAAGCAAGATTTACTCTTTATGTAATGGGAGGTAAAGCTTTTGGAAAAAGAATGATGCCAATCTCAATTTTTTTGATTGCTGTTGTCAAAAAAAGCTCATTAAATGAAAACGTCACTGACTTAATCAAAGAAAGATTCTTGTATGACAATATTGGATTCGCTCATGTCGCAAGTTTAAACTTGCAATCTGCCTGAAACCATGACATTCCTGTCAATTTATAACAGTGAAAACTAACAATGAACTGACAAATCTCAGTGATGAAAATGTGCCTGAGAGCGTGTCATGTTGCTGAGACGCAGAGGTCCTTGGAGACAGAGTGACAGTGCTGGCGTTAACTGAATGATATTGAATGAAAGTAGTAAACCTCTTCTACACATGATGCACCAGAGCAAGCCCATTTAATTAGAGACGTGTCCTTCTTTTGCTTTACTGAAGCAGCAATCACTCAATGGTCAGCTCAGGCTGTGCAGCCAGTATCGTTTTAATTGTTCTCTTGTTAGATTAAACGGTAAAACACATGACGCAACAGTTCATGGGAGGCAGTAACACCAGACTGCAATTTAAATTTTGCTGCAGCATCTTTTTTTAAATATGCATTATGTAATGTTAGGTGATGTTTTATTACAGTTACAAAGAGAATCAATATCAACTGAGTCATATATTTAACAATTCCTCAGCTCACTTTGAAGCAACTAGTAGAGAAACGTCAGCTATTTTCGACAACGGCTACAATCATTCTCTAAGAGGGCCAGAGGATGTAAGAAAGAGAGAAAGACAGAGAGAAATAGCCTGCAGAGAAATGACGCGACAGGCAAAGACAGACACAAAGCAACAGAGTCAAAGTAGCAGTGCGAGAATCCTGAATGGAAAATCTCATTTTTATCTGGTCTATAAAAACTAAATTGCTTCATTTTATTCAGATGCAGTTTCCAAAAGAAAATATACAATCTATTTGAGCCAATATGGCACTACATCCATATTGATTCTTAGGACAGACATATTTACAGCCTTTTAAATATAAATGAGTGATTCAGCATGTTAAATATGCAATAAGTTTCTTTTTCTTTCTCAAATCAAATTTATAAACTCTTCCAGCACCTGGGAGGAGTCTGAGTGCACATGTCGTGCATTATTATGTATAGAAAATAACCATACCTACAATGCAATACATGATAGTCACATTCAAATATGACATTCAATTCCCCCCGACTGTCTTTTTGTCTCTCTAGTGTCTCTAAATGCACCTTTTGATGTTGTTACTCAGAATTTCCTTGGCACGTTCCCTTGTTCCTTCGCACAAACACACACTGGTCCCTGCTTTTGTCTGACTGACACATCGAGTTCAGTAGCAGCCTCGACAGGAACCCCACACACGGAGTAACAAAGCAGGGAACTCTGGATGACACCGCTCTGCATGTTTGTTTCTGTATGCGTAAGCGTGCATCAGAGCTCATCTCGCATATTTGAGCGATCGCATCATGCATCAGCTTGTGTGCAAAGGCGAAGGCTCATTTTTTTCTAGGGCTGCGGAGGTGTGTGCGCCAGCAACTGGATGCGTCTCTCACATAAGCAGATTGGGGATTTGAAACAGTGAATAGAGATTAAGTTCCTTGTTGGGATTTGAGGAAAATCTTGGACAGCGTGTGTATTTGAGTTGCAAGGTCAGATATGTACTTGCAAGGATTGCAACATTTCCGCCAAGTCAAACACAGTCACATGTCTCTTTGCACAGTACATCAAATAGACAAATGGCCTCAATCTCTAATATAAACCGGAAACCTGTCGCTTCAGCTTCGATATTTTATTAGTGCAACAAGCTTCCACTTCAAGTCAGTGGAGCTGTGGTATCTGTCACTAAGATTCTAGCAACAGATCCTTTAAGTCCTGTAAGTTGTGAGGTGGGGGTCCCCATGGATCGGACACGTGCCATATGGTTACCGAGCAGAACATTGCCCGAAGCTTCACACTGCCTCCGTGTGCATCCTGTTGCCAGGACGCACACGTACCCGGCCATCCACATGATTCATCAAACCAGGCCACTTTCTTTCGTTGCCTGGTTCTGATGTTCACACGCCCATTGTTGGCATTTTCAAACTGAGGACAGGATCAGGACAGGCATCCACCTTTCCATCAGAACTAACACTAAATCTGTTTGCAATTTGACCTACAGTAATGCGTCTGTTGAATTGGACCACACAACTCAGTCTTCGCTCCCCACATGCATCTGTGACCCTTGGCCAGCCGTGGCAATATCGCTGTTTTACTGCTGTTCCTTCCTTGGACCACTGCAGAATCGTCACGACAATTTTGGACCTCATCAAACTCACTCAATTCCTTACGCTTTCCCATTTTTTCTGCTTTTCTAGGAGATCAACATCGAGGACAAAATGTTCCCTTGTTTGCCAATATAGTCCACCCACTAACATGTATCATAATGAATGTTATTCCTGAGCAGTGTATTTATTCATGAATTTTTGTATCTTTTATTCAAAATTTTATCTGCAAGAAAATATTTGAGGCCAATATTTAAAATACTATTTATGAATTATAAGTGATTCAGATTTACAACATAATCTTTCCAATACATAGTGTGCATTTCTATAAATCCATACATGATCAGATTTTACTGGACACTTACGGACTATTGGCTCCACCTCCTGAGCGGAATTGGACATATGGAGCTAGTTGTAGGAGGAGCTTAACAGCCTCTGGCCACTCCCCCTCATTGTAACGAAATTCACAGGAGGGAGAGTCACACTCCTCAAAGCTGAACTGGTAGTAAGAGTTGGAGTCTGAAAACACCACCCGCTGGTCCACTGGAGAGACAACAAATAGAAACACATACACTGTGATGAAAGAGAAGCAATGGCACCTTTTAAAGCACATATGCTGGCAGCAAGCTTAAAGGGGGCTTCTTTTGTATCAGAACCATGTTGTCTCATTAAGCGTGTAATATATAATAGTTAATAGTTCAAGTGTATAAATATGATCAAAGATTGTTATGCCTAAATCACAATCAAAGCTAACAATCAGTCAGGTACGCGCTCAAGCGTTTCTCAACAGAAGTTGCCATGTGGCACATTGCTGTTCTGTTTATTGATTATTATTTAGTGCAATCTTTGTGGAGATAAACATTATACACTCAGTGGCCACTTTATCAGATACACATTTTAAACTACTGAATTTAAAACAGCCTCAAATTGAGGAAGAAAGTTGATTTAAGTGACTTTCAACGAGACACGGTTGTTGGTGCCAGAAAGGCTGAAATGAGTATTTCAGAAACTATCGATCTACTGGGATTCTCCCACACAACCATCTTTGGAGTTTACACAAAATGGCCATGAAAGAGAAAATATTTAGTGAGTGGCAGTTCTCTGGGTGAAAATACGAGGTCAGTGGAAAAAGACAAGAGTGCTTTAAGCTAATAGGAAGATAACACTCAAAAAATCACTCAATAACGCAAAGTATGCAAAAAAAATCTCTAAACACAACATATCGAAACTTGAGTTGCACATGGGCCACAGCAGCAGAAAACCACACCGAGTGCCAAGAAAAGAAACTGAGGCCTGAGTCACACAAACTCGCCAAAACTGGACAATAGAAGATGTGGGTCTGACGAGTCTCAATTTGTGCTACAACATTGAAAAGAAAAACATGACTCCATGCAGGCTTGTGTCAACAGATCAAGCTGCTGGTGGAGGTTTTGGAGCATTTGAAGCTTGGGTTCCTTAGTTCCAACTGAGCATCGTTGAAACACCAGAGTCTACTCACGTTTTGTTTCTGATCATGTCCACCAGATCTCAGTCCAATAGAGCACCTTTGGGATGTGGTGGAACGGGAAATTTGGATTGTGTATGTGCAACCGACAAATGTGCAGCAACTGTGATGCTGTCATGTCAACTTGGACCAAAATCTCTGAGGAATGTTTCCGGCACCTTGATGAATATGTGCCATGAGGAATTAAGGCAGTTCTGTAGGCAAATAGGTGTCCTGGTAATAGTAAGTGATCCCTAATAATGTGGCCAGCAAGTGTATATATTATAATATCTACAGCGGTAAAGCCTTCTAGAAGAAAGCTTCAAACAAACAAAAAAGGCTGTCACACTCTTAAAACAACCACCAGGAAGAAAATTATTTAAGCCACACTGATTAGATTTTTATGTTTAACAGCTATTTAAACAACAACTGTGCCCACTGTAAATGTATTCTGTGTGGGTGAAATCCACACGGAGTGAAGTCTAGACAAGTACTGATGTGAGTCAACGCCTTCATGTGAGTTGTTACCTCCGCCAAAGAGGAGGAGGTGCGATTGGCCTGGTTTGTCTGTTTGTTTGTTAGCATGATTGCTCATAAAGTTTTGTATAGATTTGCATGAAAATGTAACCAGAGATGTGGCTCGAGGCAGTTTAGTCAATCCACATCTGAATCAAAGAATTCCTGGCAGGATTATTTACGACTGCGAGTTAAAACAAAACTGAACATCATATCACCACAGATCCATAAAACATTTGAAGAAATTTGGAGACATCATTTTGATTTTCAAGTCAATATCACACAAACTCATTCAATTCCAGATATCTTGGATTCAGGGACTCAAGGCACACATGGTGTAGGTGGAATTTTAGCAGAGGTGCACAGTGTGTGAATTTTTCCTCATATCGAACTAGTACTGACAAAAACGAATGAGCACTTCTAAGTTGTAGTTAACGAGCAGAGACACAGCAGACAGAGTTGAAGTCCTTTTATGAGTAACTGTGGATTAGCCAGACTGATGAACTGCACCTGAACACAACTGTTCATCCTCTGAAGAAACATTTACTGCCTTTAAAAGATGAATTTACAAAGATGAAGAATGCAAACAAATGTTTATATTACCCTGTTACTAGTCCACTTACACCCAAGCACAGCGGGGTATGAATGGAGCAGTCTGATATTAGATTAACAGACTCGTAGATGTGTCAGTGCTTAGCAGGGTGTTGTTAACAGGGAGATGTTTTGGGGAGAATAATTATTGAGATTATTCGGGTTATTGGGGGCTTCAGTGTAATTTAATTGTTGGAAGTTTTATCTCAGAAAGCTAATTCTGATAGTTCATTTGACAAGATCTTAATTTAAAATCAGGTTGAATCAGAAAATGAAGCTTTTTATATTACTTTGTTTTGTTTGGAACTGGTATCTCTAAAGATGTGTAGATTGTTGTTGAAGGTGACTGTGAATGTTAAAATGCAGTACACTCCGCAGGCATGGTCGGTGTTTGTGCGTGTATGTGTTTTTACCAGACAGCAGGACTCCCAGCTCCAGCAGCACCTGCCAGACACGCACAGCGGTAGTCCGACAGCGCACATACACACATTGCTCACACAGCCACTGCACCAGCTCCACTCCCACATAGCTACGCCTGTTAAAATACACAAATGAAGATTTTCAGCACACAAATATGGCTACACAGTGTTAGCATGCATAATACATACACACACACACACACACACTCATACGCTATTCTTCCCTTGGCACACAGTTTGTCATTCTTATTTAGTCAATACCCATTGATTATTCATTAGTTCTCTGTAAGCCTTTTCCTCCAAAACACTGAACTATTCTCATCTGCGTTCCCTCAAATAAACTCCTCGTCCATGTGTGCTTCTAAATGCGTTTGTCTGACTGTACGTGCAATGATTGTTAAGAGTATCTATTTATTATTTCCCCAAGATGTTTGGACTGATTTTACATACATTTCAGTGTAACGTTACGTGCCCCATTGTAGTACATGTATTCCCAGACTACCTTGTGCTTCACTGCAAAACATCTACATCCTGCTTAGTTCGTCACAGAGCAAAAACAAGTTGAGCGACCAATAAGGATGGAGCACAAGAGTGACTGTGAGTCAGTGTATATGCTTCACTGGACTCATCGATTCAGGTCTGCACAAAGACACGCAAATAGACAGAGACAAGTGTACCGTATGATTCTGGCCAGGTGTATCTTGTCCTTCGCTGGGTATGGTCCATGTGACAAGAAAGCATTCCTCACAGCCCGACCAGCACATGGAAAACTCTGGGAACAAGACTGATATAGAAACAATAACATAAAAATAGTGTTATAATGTTAAAACCTGCGAACTTAAAAACTAAAGAAGGACTAAATGACAAAACTCTCAGTATTGGTTTAAACATGAATTTTTAAGTATAACAAGCTAATGTGGCTACATGCAGCTGTCATTGACTGGCTCACAAGGACAGCTCGATTTCTTTCCCCCTCAGGAACTGAACATTGACCGTCTACACGCTCAGCAATAATCCTGCTATTGATGCTACCGTAAATAAGACCGTATTTCAATTAAGCTGGTTACATGGGCTGTTTGTTCTGTTCTATTCATATTCCCTGTTACATGCAGCAGAGTGAGGCTCACTTAGAAGCTGATGAGGCTCCACTCACATTATGTTACAACATTAGAGACTCTCTTTATGTCCCTATCCCATCTTTTTTATGTAGTGCAGCTTTGTGGCTGCTGTGTACACAGGTTTTTCATAATAGATAAGTCACTAGGCAGTACACATGGTACCTGAAGAGTCCTATATATATAATGCATGTAATGGCATTATAAAAAGATGAGAAGAAGCATGAACACCGTGAGAGGATTTCTTCACTTTGACTCAAAGAGAATTTTTATAAGTTTTGATGGTTAAAAAATCAGGATCACTTTGACTCTTTTTGGCTAGAACTCACAAATTTTATAAAAGTAACCAATTTTCACAAAGACAATCCACTAGGACAGAACAATGACATTTTAACGTTTCATAACCAAGGTTTAATGCTGTGCCTGGACAGACCTGGGTGTAAACAGCAACTTTAATAATTGTCATCATATTATCATGCAAAGGTAAGAGCAGAAAACCAGAACATCAGTGTTAGACAAGTTCATCAGGCTCACAAAGGCTCCATCAAAGTTACAGGTTATTCTTGTGCGTGAAGTGTAGCACACTGTTATATCCAAGACAACTGAATTTAGTTAACCACTAAATGAAGGTTCAGGAGTATTATGAGTCCATGGTCAACGGTAACCACGCCAAATAAAGAATGGAAATATGTAAATGCATCAGCATGCCGTAGCATTGACCATATTACCATATTACAGGCAACAACCGTGCCTTACTAATGTGCGACCCAACCAATAGGACAACACTCTCCATAACAACGTGGAAAAGCAACATTTCAACAAGTTATTACATCATTTGGTGTTTCAGTAAGTTATTTATTATCATTTTATGCAAAACTTGTTAACATCAAGACCTGCCATCAATAGTTTGAACTGAATATTGTTCAGTACATCAGGAGCAAGAATTTGATGAAACGGAAAGTAGTGTGCATGAAAGTAATACTGTGAAACTGAGGACCCATTAGGTGACCACTGTGTGAAAGTTTGATTACATTCTAACTAATACTACAGGAGTAGTTCATTTGTCCTTTGACCAGACGAGGTAAAAAGTATTGGAAAAGGAACATTTAAAGTGGTTTGAAGTCTGAGTTAATTTCCTAATTAACTGAAACTTTGGTTATGTTTAATATGAACATTTACTACCGTGATAGTAGATTTTTGAAAAAACAAAAAAACAAACAAAAAGCAAAAACACAACAGGACCCCTTTAACTTTAAGGTACTAGCTTGTGGTTGTTCATCAAACTATAAAGGAAGAATTTAAAATTTCTAAACTCGAAGCAGAATTTCTGATCATTATTGGGGGCGGGCAAAGTAATGTCATCAAAGCCTGCGAAACGAATAGCCTCAGTTCATCCATACTCACGAGGCCCAAAGTTGTAAGGTGGAGATCAGTCTTAACTGTCTGACTAATAATCATCATCTAAACTAACCCGCCAGGTTTATTGATTAGTCTAGCTTTCAGTTACCAGATTCAGTTAGTTTTCACCTCCTGTTTGTTAGACAAACTTCATAGCAAGATTTAAAATGGCCTAGCAAAGACTGCAGCTTCTTCTTTCAAAGATCTCCTTGCATAGGTGTTCATGGAAAGGTTTTCAGTGTTGTAATGCTTTAGGCACTACATCAGATGTTGTGTATGGAGACTTCATTAAGTATATAATGACATACAGCCAATAAAAAATACAAAGTACTGAGGGGCAAAACAACCTGGCAGGTACAAACATTTTTTGGCACAAGTAACAGATTTGCTTTTGAATACACCAAAGCTCCTCCTCAGATGTTGATTTCTTTGCTTTACTTTTTCTTTCTTTGGCTCTTTTTTCCCCGGTGTTGAAAGGAAAACTTCTCCTGTGTGATATTTAATCTTTGAGGTCTTCAGAGTACTGTACACACACATATTTGAATTTCAAATTAACGCTGTGTGTGTATGTGTGTGTGCACGCGTCTGTGTAGTTGGTGAAATTAGCCTGGAAAAACCCTCAGGTAATATCCCCACTGATGTAATTTGTGTTGGGATTAAACAAACACACTTTTGCTTGACAGCAAAACTAAAAGTATGACATCACTTTCATGTGTGCGAGTGTTTCCTTACCTTATGTGCAGCAGGTCCAGTGCTTGGTCCGGGGATAGTGTCAGGTGATTGCTGTTGAAACACAAAACACACGCCATCAGAGCCAAAACACACAAAATGACACACACAGAGTAAATACACTAAACAAACATGAGTGAGGTGAGTGAGGCCAGTTTTACCATTCCCAAACGACTAGGTTTTGTTTAAGCTTACTTTCCAGTCGATTGGGTGCTTTCATGCTAACACCTGTTCCTGCAATAAACCTAATAAACCTCAAGAACATGGCTATTAATTTATCTAATAAAAATATCACAATCTGCTTATTTAAACAGAAGCGCGTTTTCTCTCTGACATTAAACCCGGAAAACTACAGCAGTTCAAATCCTGAGTAATATACTTCCAACTGCCAGCTCACTTATCACATCGTAACAATGACACTACAATAAATCCTTTCTTCTTACCACCATCATGACACCATTTTACAGCATTTGCCTTAGGTGTATCCACTGCACCTCTACTTCCCCAATCAGAAAATAAGCTGTTAATCTTTATGGATTATTATGGCGCCAGGGAAGGAAGATAACAGTGTTGAGACCGTGTTGACACACTAGCCCTAAAATAGATTAAAATTGATAGTAATTGTTAGATCAAGTAGACCGCAAACGAACTTCATAGAGACCACAGTTTCTGTTCCACTCTAGTGTGTACAGTATGATGTCATTTCCTAACTCCTTGTCTTGCTTCCTAAGAGCCCCATTTGAGTGGGTCTTAACAGTTAATGACTCCTTATGGTTTAAAAATACAACAACTGGTAATTTTTTATGTTCCTTTTCAAAGAATAAAGACCCCTTTGTATATGAGGTACAGAGGTTAATTTAATAAATTTATTAAACCACCTGTAATAAGCTACAAAAAAAAAAACCCCAAGCTAAAATGTTTTATACCCATACTGGACATCTTTGAGAAGTCAGGAATTAATCAAGCATAACATTCAACCAGTAGAATAATAATTTAAAAAAACTGTAATTTACCACCTTAATCCAAAAAAAATGCTTTACTATATGCTTTACATTTTACTGTATAACAGTAAACTCCCATTTGTAGTACAACCTGACTAAACCAACAATGAAAACATTTGCTCTAATGCAGTCTTTACTTCAGATATGTAGCCAGTACTTAATATTAGTTTTGCAAAAACACCTCACTACAATGATTGTACAAAAACGTGTTACTTTATCCATAATCTGTTACTATTCACCTCCCCCAGTCTTTGACAAAGCTTGTTCAACACTTGAGAGAACAAAAAACCTTTGTTAACAGTGAGCAGCAGAAAATAAATAAAGTCAAAATGAAAAATCTCTACAAATATTTCTCATTCAAGCACAGATACAAAGGACAGGATGACCATTTACATAAACATTAACTCCACTTTATAATGCCACACCTAAATCATCACTGGTGTAGCCCGGGGTTTTTCGAAGTTAACTCTTCAGTTATAGAAAAATCACCTCTCTCTAAACAAGGTGTGGTAAGAGACTTTAGCTTAAACAAGCTTCTACCTGCCAGGTGAAGTGGCTGTCTTATTCGTTTTTATCTCAAATAACTCAGCTCAGACAGAAGAAATTAGGTATTTGCCACTTCATATAGAGCAAAGGTGTTACTAATAATGTGAATGATGCCTTCATTATACTCAAGTTCCACTAAGTCATGACTTTGTCATAGTGTAAAAGCAACTTGCTCTGAAGGGGCACTATGTAAAGTACTGTGTAGTCTTCAGTTACCCTCATTTCTTTACATTTTGCTAGATAAAAATACATGACAGAAATAGATGCAGTGATTTATCAAAACGTGTGCATACAGAGAAATACAGTACACTACAGTTCTAACAAGCTTGAAAAATCAATATTTGGTATGGCCACCTTTATCCTTCAATACAGCCTGAGTCTTCAGGGATAGCTCAGTAGAAAGACATTCAAAGCTGCTCTTTGGATTTTTTCTGCCCTTTGTTCTGTTCTCTGTCAACATGATCCCACACTGCTTCAGCAGCACTGTTCAGGCTCCGGAGAGGCCAATCCACAACTGATTTTGATTTCTGTGTTGCACTGTGTGCTTTTCTATCCAGGTATGCAAAACCTTACGGCACTTTTCTGCTTTCATACCTCAAACTATTTTGACAAGATCCCCACCACCACTGGCTAAAACACAGCTCTAAACTATGGCAGAGCTCCCTTGTTACAGATGGCTGTAGACACAAACTCTCTCCTGACCACCTCCATACACAGTTACGGTAAGATGATTTGAACCAGAAACTTCAAATTCGTCACCCTATGTGACCTGTTGCCATCTGTTAAATACAGTTCTTGTGTAACAGGACAAAATGAATGCAAAAATACAGGAGAGCATTAAAGCAAAACCTGCTGTCTGTGTTGGATTTTTGAAAGCTTATTTTCCAGTACACAAAGGTCCTGTAAGTGGTCACTATATTACCATGTCATGCAAAAATACCCAGCTTAAACAGTTTTGATGAGAAGAATTCATATGGCTAGTTATTGCATTTCTTCCATCAGGAAATTGCATGGTGGATTAAAATCTGACTGCACTCTTCTGCATTCACTTCCCTCAGTTTCACTCAACTGTGGTACCCCTCTCCTAATCGCCACTGTTAGTAAAACTGAATAGAAACACATCCCATATAAATATTATAGTTGCTGCCAGACACAATTTAAAAAGATTTGCTTTCAAATTTAACAATAACAATTTTTCTTCTAGTGGTTTAAAAAAAATAGGACAATTTAGCATCATTATCAGTTGATCTGGGGTAAGAAAATATCACATACTAGTATTTGCTTTTAAAATGCTTTGGTGGTACTCTCGAGATAAAACAGAAACTGCAGGGTTGTATTAGAATGACAATCACGTTGCCATCATTCATTAAAAAGAGACAGATAAGAACCTCCTGCAACATGAGTGCAACTGGTCTGGGAGCTCAGTCAGTGAAGCAGGATCACTGACAGAGTTGTGGGTTTGACTCTCAGCAGAAACCTCTGCAGTGAACTGAGCAACTGCAGGCAGTCATTGCTGCCCTTAGCTTCTTGCTGGCTGGCGATACCAAACCACCAGATGAAAGCAGAGCGATTCAGAAACATTACCTGATCAAATGAAAAGCACCTAACTGTGGCAGACAGATCTAGATGAAGAAATACAAATGTGATGATGTGCAAGACGAGGAAGAAAAGAGGAAGGCTGAACAATTGACATCAGTCTCTGAAAGTATGAGAGTATGACAGATGGAGAGGAAAAGAGATGAGGCAGTGAGAGACGGAGAGATCGTTTTAATTATAATCGTGAACGAGTGGTAGAGGGAGCAAGACAGAGAGGGAGAGAAATGCTTGGCTGTGGCTTTGAGTTGCAAGAAAATGAAATAGAGTGGTGATTAGTGAGATGTGGAGCTGCGTATGTGTGTGTGTGAGTTCCTCATTTGAGCGATGATACTGTCTGCGATGTCACAGGCTCGCACACACATACAGACACACTCAGGGCTACAGTGTATGACTGCACTTATTTTTAATGCAAGTTACAAAACACTTGCTTACTTTTCATTATAGAAATAGATTCACTTTCTGAGATATGTGCTTCTTTGCTTATTTAATGAGAGTCTGATGGGAAGATCAATACCACTCCTACTCATGGCATTAAGTTTAAAACTAAAGCCAGAAGCTGGTTGGATTACCTAAGACCAAAAACGATAACAGGGGAAATACATAGTTTGCATCTCTCTAAAGGTGACAGGGTTCAGAAAACTAATCATAACCTCAGGGGTTGAAAAAGAACTAACAAAAAAATGAAGGAAGTCAGCTATAGCGTGCCGCTCGTACAGTTCGGCTGCACAATTTGACAGCAGAAACATAAACACTTAACCCTGATCCAAAAATGCTTTTGGTATCTAGAAATCAGACAAACTCTATGAGGAAGCACTTCGCAAGAGCGGGAAGGAAAAACGTCCTTTTAACAGGAAGAAAACTCCAGCAGAACCAGGCTTTAAGAAGGGGCAGCAATCTGCTGCGACCAGTTGGGGGTGATGTGTCATATAAACACATAGTGATGAAAAGAAGTGAGTGTAGAAAAAAAACATTCGATGTATCATGGGAAGCCCCCAGCAGCCGAGACCTATTGGAGCATAACTACGGGTGGATTCAGGGTCAACTGATTCAGCCCTAACTATAAGCTTTATTAAAAAGGAAACTTGGCAAAATTTGCATCCCATTTACCCTAAGAGTGAGATTTTACTTCATCTTGCTAACCAAGTTAGCTGCCTGGCATGTGTGGAGGTCTCAGTTGTGTCATGAAATATTTTTCGAGTTTAGGCCACACATTACACGTTAGAAGCGGTAGATGGCAAACCACTTTAAAGGTCTGCACATTAATCAGTTTGTCCATTTTTTTTATCTCCCCTTATGCAAATATACTGATCTCTGGTCCAAAAGCAGTTTTTCCCCTTCAAAATAAAATGTGAGGTTTGAGTATTCGTTTGATCTGCTCTGTCATTATTTTCAATAAAACGTTGTTTGCTCTGAAATATGTCAGGTCATTGTGGACATATTCCTTTATATTAGTAAGCAACAGAGCTTCTTTCCTGTATTTGTGCACTGTTTGGACTGGGGATCAAGTAGAGCACACCAGCCAGCCAAGCGCACAGACAAAATAAATTGTTTCTGTGTCTCTGTAGCTATCTTGTTCTGACTTTCTTTTGTCCTGGTCCTTGTATCTTCTCTCTCCATCTCTGTTTCTCCTCATCTGGTGAATACAGATCTCTCACAAAGTCTTTGTTTCTTCTACCATCATCTCTTCTCACAAACATACTTCAGACACATACCAGCATCAGAGGTGTTTCATTCATACTGTATCACACAAAAAGAAAACTGCCTGCTATGTTCTTGTCTCTTTGTCTGTGCTTCAATTTGTATTTCAAACAAGCACACACACATACAATATGTTGCCATGTTGTATCCTATAACAGAGAAGAGAAGATGAATGAAAGCTATAAAGAGAGAGCACATGCTGACACGCTTATCTGTGTGATGACTTCAAAGTGTGTATACAGCAAGAGAGAGGAGAGAGAGCGAGGTCATTATCTGCAAGAAATGGATTACTCAGATTAGATTGCTGAGCACAGTGAAGAGCTGTAGCACAGTATGCTTGGCAAACCCTCCTCTCTCTCTCTCACACACACACACACTAAGCTCCTGTCGACTCCTCAACACATCTGTCATACAAGCAAGTCAAAATAAAGACATCAAAGAAGCTATAGCTCAATAGACACATATAAATACCCAAGCGCACAAAGGCACAGTTAATCTGTTAAGAAACCTATCCAACAGCCCACGCCCTTCTGCAGGCACATGACCTTTGGCTTAAACGCATTCAGTTAGTCTTTATTTGTTTCTGTCATCTAAGAACAGAAAATAAAACAGTCTTGAGTTAGTTGCCTGATCAAAAATCTCCAATTTCTTCTTATTTTGAAGGTTTCCTGCGAGTATTTACACTCTTATAACTTAGGTTTTCCCTGTATCTGTGCATAGTCTCTGAGATGTTTCTACACTTTAATGGATTTAGAAAGGCGTCACATTGGCGTGAGGTTTAAAGAACTGACTGCTCAGACACAAGAAGGAGTTGAAGCGCAGATCTGTCCGAGGGCATCCCTAATTCTTAAATACAAGAAACGTGGATACACCAGAACCCTTTCACGGTCAAACTGAGCAATCGGGGGAGAAGGGCTTTCGTAAGAGAGATGACCAATACCCTGATGGAGCATGGCTGAGCTCCAGAGATCATGTGTGGATAGAGGAGAAACGTCCAGAAGGGCAACAATCACTGCTGCACTCCATCAATCAGTCTGAGCTTTATGGCAGAGCAGCCTTAAACTTGGTATTGTGTGGGGGCAGCAGTATAATTTCCAGCATGTAGTCTATCATAAACTCATTAGCAGCGAGGCTAAAAGCTGCAACCACAAAACCACAGAACAAAGCAAAAAAAAAAAAAAAACACAAGAGTGCACAAGATTATTTCTCCAAATATGCCACTCCACATTTGTTTTTTCAAAACACCTTCTCCATCTTTAACTCTTTCCTCATAAACAACATCTAACAACCTCCCAAATTTGGTTTGATGACCATTAGAATATTTTACGGGTTTTTCCGAGCATAGCTTCAAATTGGCAGAGGCTAAGCTCACTAACTCCTCATGCACACTCAGTCATTTTGTTCTGTAAGTTTCCGTGAAATATGACAGAAACCGCTCAGTTCAGAAAAGAGCTTCAAGGGTTACTCCTAGTAGTCCTTCAAAGGGGGTAAAGAGTTAGCGTGCATAATTCCTTGGCTGTCTTTAAGAATGCAAACACATGGAAATGCAAGAATCAGGCAATACAAAGCACTCCTGCTAATGTAACGCAAAGTCTCTGCACCTCTTCAATTATGGCAGAAAATTCTATATTACCGTACAAAATTACTGACATCAATACACAGAATCTGGCTCAAGGGAAACTAACAGTTGACAGTTTTTCTTATTACTGTTGGCAGCATTGCCTTTTAGGTATGTTCAACACGCACAGAGGGCGAGCCGGGGGGAGTCCCAGCACCCCACATGCCACTTTCAGTAAATACAATCACGGAAGAGGCTGTTGTTAAAAGGATATGAAGCACTTAATTGGGATTATTTTGGTTTCAAACCAGGAGAAACGTTAAGCCAAAGGACGTGAATGTAGCATCAGATAACGGATGCCGCTGCCTGCAGACTCTACATGAACAAGTCAGCAGAGACAATACATGCTATTAAATGATCAGGGTGCAGAACCACACATGCAGTTGTTGGTCTAGTTCCATGCTTTTTGAACCGATGTTGCTTTTAAGCATGGGTTGAATGCCTGAAACACTACAGAAGGCTTGATTGTGTGAAAGGCAGAAATCATTGCAGCATTCATTATATTTTACTAAAGAACACAGATTATTACATTTGATAAACAAACTCAACATGACCAAGACAAAAATTTAATGGCAATCGACTTGCCAAATTGCAATTAGCCACTCGCCAAAGTCTATTGAAAAACTACAATGCACTGTGGTTACTGACTTTTCAACTGCCCTTAAAGGGTTAGCAAATCTCCCTGCACCTGTCACATCGCAGCCAATAAAGGAGTAATAATTGAATACCAGAGCAAGTCACAACAGACTACAATGCAGGACAGGATTTTTCAAGGTGAGGCTGCTGCAGGCTGCAACTTTAGGCGACAGATGCCTCCGTACAGGACAACAAGCTCAATTCACTTTATGAGCTGTCACCAAACATTAAAGAATTAGATAATGTGAAAAAAAACACTCACGCAGGATACTGAGGACTTATGAATGCCTTCAGATACACGTATTAAAAAGTAAAATATCTCAAGACATGTGCATCTTGTGGGAGGGTACCAGAAAACTCTCCAGTGTTAATGACCAATCACCAATTAACAAGCTTTTGTTGAATCCAGATGAGCAGTTGCATTCTCTGCAAAGCAATCTTAAAACTCTCAGTTAAGCTAACTTTAAAAATCTCAGATAAAACCACAACTCTTATATGTAAAATATATATCCACAGGCTACACCAAAGCACTGAAATATATGGGCTGTGACTCCGAGAGACTAAGTCAGCAAAGTAGCCGATGCGTTCCCAGGAAGGAGATTGTTTACTTAAGCATGATTTTTGTTGGGCAAACAATCAGAACTAAAGAAAAAGCATATATTTATATCAACGAAGATAGCAAGGGCTTTCTTTTTACTGTATGTGGTCAGATCATTCTTATTCCTATGTATCACCCACCTCTGAGCCACAAAATATGTTGTTGCATCTTTAGACAAGTGCCTCAGGTGCTGGTGCAGTGCAATGCAAAACAATCCCAGGAACCTCCCATCCAACAACTTTTTGATTTTTTTTTTGTGCACATAAAAATAAAGTGTATTGTGGGTATGCCAGGTGAAGCAGAGGCGACTGAAAAGAGCCTGGTGAGGACCAGTCTGTGCAAAACACCCATACCTTTACACTACTTACCTATGCTTCATCACACTCACCCGCACAAACATAGAATGCTCACACCAAGATATCAGAAGAGAATGAAAGATTCTTCATCTACTCAAGCCTGCCATTATGTTCGCCTTCATGGGTACTGCACAAAAAGCATGGTTAATTCACAAAAGGAGGTAAATCCACCCTCTAATGCAGCCGTTCTCTGGTGGTTTTATAATAACATTCTTGAGTGGACTCACTTCAGTTGTCGTGTACAGCTGCTGATTTATTTTGACTGGAAAACGGGATCATACAAACAGGTAACAGGAGACTGAGTGGCCCCGATCAGTGGGTCATTCAAACATCAGTTAAAATGACCAGATGGAACATGACAAAGTGTTTATCTCTTTGGTCCTATGTGGCTTTAAACTACAAATGTTGCATATTTTTAACACGTCTGTCTCCAGTGGGACTGGAAGGAGTGGCACACAAGTCTCTGATCTCTAAGGAGGGAACTCAGAGACATATTTTTTTTCCTTTTTCCCCTCCTGGGTGCCACTGATGATGAAGATGAGCAGAACTGACACTTTGAGCAGCCATTTGGCTTGTCAGGTGTGTTAGTGCCACAGTTGGGCACGTCAAGTCACAGTTACTGCTTAGCCGGCCAATCATGGAAAAAAAACAATTCAAAGATACATCAGATGGAAATTCTGATTTGATATATAAATATTAGGATAGCTTATTCGTCAAAGAACAGACCTGACTCAATCAGATGTTTAATCGTTTGACATTAGTTTGATAACCAATACATCGTTAAAGTTATTTACACAAACAAAAATGCAAGTAGCTGCTAGTCCAGACTTCTTTTTATGTCCTCCCATGAATGCTTTCTCTGTCTGACGCTGTTATCTCTGATTTCTGGGTGAGCAGACACACAGTTAAACAGAAAAAATCATATGAATACATCACAGTGGACTCAGAACTTGTGATGGTCATTTCGTCATAATTATTTATTTTATTTCTCTACTGAAAAACAAAAACTACACTTACAGAACATTACTGTGCAATCAAAATAACTGTGTTATGTAGCAGTGAACCCACGCACATTCCTTTATATGTATATGTAATATTTACATATACATACATACATATTATATTTATATGTAAACGTGTCTAATTCTTAGTGTATGTAAGTAGGTGTATCTAGTCAATATGGTGGAGGTGGTGTTGCCTTGACTACCAGAGTGTGAAGGTATGGTGTCCAACAGCAGTTCTGGTTATTATGGATGTAGCGTGCATACGCACGCGCGCGCACACACGTACACACACTGGGTGCCTCTGCGACAGCGCTGTTCACAGCAAAATACAAACACCTGAGTCGTGACAGGCTTACGAAACGGCTTCAGAGCCTTCACGGCGAGATGTCGGGACTGTTAAAAAAAATAAAACCCGTCCACCTTTCACCAGACATCAAACACGGAAGGACGGACAGTCAGACAGCGGTCGGTTTGAAGTACTCACGCTTTTCTTCCGCAGGTGAAGCCCGTGCTTCAGTAGTCCCGGCAGATCCCGGATTTTGTGTTTCAGCTGAGCTTGGTCTCTTGCGCTCCTGTTCCACCGCAAGCCCGCAAGTAAGCCGTCCTCTGCGGGCTCCGAGTCCTCCATGGTTCCTCTACTTCTCTCTGTCCTCGAGCCGCCTCTCTGCCTGCCTGCGCTCCCGGTGCCTACTATATCCTCAAAAGGTGCACCGCCGCCCGCGCCTGTTCGCCATTTCCCCCCGCCTCGCGCTCCCACTCAGCGACCTGCATCTGCAGCCGAACCGCGCGCAGCCTTAACGACCTACTCAATGTATTCCGCAGCACGCGACGCCGCTGCTCCACCCAATGGCTCGAGCGTCCTACTCTTCGGTAGGCTGCTGCCAGGTTCGTGTGTGTGTGTCTGTGTGTGTCTGTGTTGTCCGCGGGAGGGGGTGTCACAGGTGCAAACGAACATTGCATCACTTTCACCTCTCATCCTCCACCAGCCTGTCTACACCGGGGGAAATATTCACAGGGACTGTTGGAGCTGGCACCATAGTGTCACTGCTTATTTCTGTTAGAAGTTGAAAACTTGAAAGCTAATGACAGCAGTGTTTGGGGGAAGGGAGGGGGAAGAAGAAGAAGCAGACGGCACCCGGTAGGGCTACGTCACCACTTTACCTGGCTCAAATTTCCATAGGTAAACAAAGAGCCGCCACAGAGCGAACCTGTGTGGGTGTGCCTTTCGAGGTAGCTGACATTCAAGAGAGCATTTTCCTCATTTTAATCCATATTTTATTGACCTAACGTTTCAGCTTAACCTTTCTCAGAAGCACCTGTGTACCACTCTGTGCGAGAGGGGTACACCATGTAGCTTTGTTGTAAGTTTTTGCCTCATGATGTCTCTTATGTGGTTCGCCCTACCATAAAAGTCCATAATAGCAATTATTAGACTGAAAAACGAGATGGTGTTTGTGTATCACCGTTAATTACAGCATGCAACACATTAATAATGTCACTTATTATTTTTGAAAAATACATGACAAGCATTATAAATTCTCTTGTGAACAATCAAAAACTATTCGTCAGAAAGTGTCACACAAAAAACATTGCTAAATCAAATGGAAAGTTAGCTATTGTAAACTCAATCTTTGATCCAATTGAGCCCAGGATTAATTTATCCAGCTCAGACAGGTTCCCGCATATATGGCACAAATCTGGGTGCCACAGCGATTGCATGGCCCTGACTGTAAAGCATAGAGATAGAGTCTGATCATATGACGCTAAATGAATGGTAAAGATGTCGATTTATAGATGGACATGTGATAATAGCACCCATAGTCTCCAGAAGTCTGATAGGAGAGGAACAGTGCAGTATAAGAGTGATTTAAACAAACCAATAGAATTACAGGAGAAACATCCATTCAAGGCATTTTTAAGTTAGATACAGAGACACTAAACAAAGAGAAGCTGAATAAATAGTGGTAGAACATTTTAAAACTGGTCTCCTCCAAGCCAAGGAGAATTAAGTATGTCATCAACAATAAAAGTAAACTAAAGTTTTATTCTTTTAAAAGAATAAAAGATTTGTAAAGTCTTCTGAGTTCCAGCTGCGGAGCTTGTGTTTCTGTTGGACTAAATCTAAGCAGTTAGTTTTTCATTTGGCTTTGAAGTGATATTGCATAAGTGGTGTGTATATTTCTGTTAAATGAACAAAAAAAAGAGTTTGATGGAAAATTTCAAGAAGAAAGCACTAAAGAAATGCCCAAAAACTTCCATTCACCAGCCACTTTATTAGGTACATCCGTCAGTACCTCGTTGATGAAAATCTATTAAAAAAAAGAAATCAATGAATAAATCAATCATGTGTCAACAACTCAGTGCATTTAGTCATATAGATCTGGTCAATGTGACCTGCTGAAGTTCAAACTAAACATCAGAATGGGGAAGAAAGGTGACTTTGAATGTGGCATGGTTGTTAGTGCTAGACCGCCTGGTCTGAGTGTTCAGAAACTGCTGATCTGCTGGGATTTTCCCACATAGCCAACTCTAGTGTTTACGGAGAACAGTCTGAAAAAGAAAAAATAGCCAGTGAGCAGCAAAAGATGTCTTTCTGATACCAGAGGTCAACAGAGAATAGCCAGACTGCTTTGAGCTGATAAGGCAACAATAACTCATATAATCTCTTGTTACAACCAAGGTATGCAAAAGAGCATCTCTGAACGCACATGTTGAACCTTGAAGCAGATGGGCTACAGCACCAGAGGAGCACAGCAGGTGCCAATCCTGTCAGCTAAAAACAGGAAGCCGAGACTACAATTCACAGGAGCTCACATAAACTGGACAGTAGAAGACTGGAAAAACATTGTCAATCGGATCAGATTTCTGCTGTAACATTCAGATTGTGGGATCAGAATTTGGTGTAAACACCATGAAGGCATGGATCAGTCCTGCTTTGTGTCAATGGTTCAGGCTGGTGATACTGGTGTAATGGTGTGGGGGATATTTTCTTGCGCCCATCTGGCACAGTGTTAACTGAGTACTGTTGCTGACCATGTCCACCTCTTTATAACCACAGCGTACCCATCTTTTGAAGTGATGCCACAAAGTTCAGATCATCTTGAACATGACAATGAACTCATTGTACTCAAATGGCATCCGAAGTCACCAGATCTCAATACAGTAGAGTATCCTTGAGATCTGGTGACTGTGGAAAATTCACATTATGGATGCGCAGAGGCTGTTTTACTGTTGAGGTCTTAATAGACACACATTGTGAGCTGTAGCGACACTCACCCCATATTATCCCGATGAGTTACTGCTTGTTATTACATAGTTTTACCAGGAGAGAGCACCAATGAGTTATACGTTCAAATGTGAACATGATAATCGCTGTTCTTTACAGTTTGTTTGTTAGTTTTTTGTGTGTCATTTGGCTCCAAAAACAAAGAGCATGAGCCAGTAGACTTATATCAACCGGATGCCATTGTAACAATAATGGGCTCAACAATCCACCAATCAAGAGGGTGAACACTACACTGAGTCTATGACCTAACCCAGGAGGTTGCAACATTAGCTGCTGCTCTGAGGGTCACAGACTCTTACCAAAATCCAGATTAAAGAAATATCCGGCCTGCTTCTGGATTAAACAGGATTTTGACACATTTCCGGAACTGCTGGAACAGTACGATTTCAGATCCAAGGAATGAATGAAAGATCTCTCGCTCTGTTTGTTTCTATAACATTTTATTATGCTTATTTATTTTCTTTTATACATACATAAATACACACACATGATCTACAATCAGGAAAAGATCGGCAGTTCGAGACTGGGAGGAGACACAAACCCAAACTTGGGGGATGGTTGCATCAGGAAGGACATCCGGCATAAAACCTGTGCCAAATCAGTCATGCGGATCCATCCACTGTGGTGACCCCTTGGGAAATAAGTAAGCAGGTGACAGTACCTTCTAGTACTGTAATAGACTATGAATTGTAAGGCGTATTAATCTCTGAAGAAAATATGTTTGGCTCTGTGGCATGCACATGAGAGACAAAGCCTGGGGCTCGGCCTGCACAGGAGCGCAGTGGCCTAAGCAACAAGGCTGTAATACCCTCTGTAATGTATTCAACACATTTTAAAATTCATTGGTATTATATGGGGCAATAAAGCTTTTCTTATTCATAATTCCAGCAGTAAAATATCGTTTGCTGTCCACTTGCATCATAATAAGAAGGATGTGTTTTTGCTACTTGCACTACACACCATGCATTTCTTTCTGGATATTCTTTGTGGGTTTATGAGTCATGGGGGGAAAGAGTAAATTCACTATATGTATTTAAAAAGTGCAGCCTTCTCGGGAAGTTGTTTAATGTTCAATGACCTGATTAAAAAATTCAACTGAACATGACATGAAAGAGAATGAATTTATTAATACAGCAGATAGGAGAGGATCTGAGCCCGATGCTCCACACGACATAAAGCCAAGCAGAGTTCAGCTCGAGTGCTGCGGCTTCAGTTGTACAACTCAGATGTTGAGGCTGCTTCTTGATAGAACGTGTAATCTGGGATAATTGGCCCCTTTCTGGGACTCAGATTATACCACCACCATGGCTGTTAGAGGTAATGGGACAGTGTATAATGTTTGGCAGCTGAATAGCACACACAGAGAAAAAAGAAAAAAAGACATCAAAACTATTTTTATTTTTGATCAAAAGCCCGCTGGAGCATTTCAGTCCTTCACATGTCAAACCTACAGACGCACAGTCATGACATGCTGTATATCAACTGTCTCCATCACTCGTCGTACTTGCAGATGATGAACTATAAACTCTACACAGACCTTTTCACTTTTGCATGTTGGTCACAATTTCTTTTACTTTATGACTGCATGTCAATTAAAACCAATAGACCCAAGTGCAGGTGTTTAACAGTAGGAATAGCAAGGAACACTAATAACGACAATAGGCCTGTACCCTGCTAGAAATAATCAAGACATGTATAGGATATCCACCATGCTACTGTGATAATGTCAGGGCCAAAGGATGGAAAAGGACACATTATTTCTACGTAGCACTTAAAGCCCACTGAGTCGGCCCCTGGCTCCTCTGGTCCACATGTCCTGGACAAAATACCAAATCCTAAATTTCCCCCTCACCATTCATCCATCAGACTGTTAGTGTGTCTGTGACTGTTAGAAAGTGCTTTAGGGCATAGAATAAAGAATTGTATGAATGCGTGTGTGAATGGGCGAATGTGTCTCATAGCAGAAAGCACTTTGAATGCTCAGATAGAGTACACTTACCATCCAACCCAACATCACACTGCTTTTACAGGGTATCCTAATGGATACATGAAAACGAACATCGTCTTTTTAAATGAAATTTTCCACTATAAAGTAATGAGAATAATACATGGCAAAAAAAAACTAATGTGAATTAATGTCAGACTTTATGGACAGTCCGTTCTGGCAGAAAATGTTCATGTATGAGCTCACCATCAGAAGTTTAATTCAGAAGTTTAATGCGACTCAATCTGCTGTGCCTGCAATAATTTTAGCATCAAGCGTTACCTTTGACCTGAGGAAAACTGAGGAACAGGATGGAGTCTCTATATCACGTTTTCACACAGGCTTGATAAAACACATGGCTGCTGCATGAGAACTCTGTGGAGAGGCTGCCGTCTGTAGATAAACATACAGTACAGCTCGAAAATGGAAAGCAGCTTCGACATCTGTTAGTAAAATCCCCTTCTCCGTGGACAAAGAACGCTGATTCGAAATGAAGAAGAAACGCCTCATCAGGGGCCTTGTGAGCGCCACAATGAGCCAAAAGCTGAGAAGCCGAGCGAAACAGAATTACTGAAAAGCCATCAGTCATGTTTAGATCATTGTTCAGATAGCTGCCTTCTGACATTTTGTGGACACTGAAACAGAGGCTCTGAAACTACAGTTTCCGAGAAGATGATATTACAGTTGATAGGAAGAAATAGCCTGCGCTCAATCAAATCAAAACCTTCCACAACAAAAAACAAAAAAAAATTCCTGCAGAG